AACCCAGTTTATTTACAGTCCATGTACCACTTAGTGTTACTAAATGAATATGCACTCCTCTAACACAACCTTTCCTCATCTAGATAAATAGATAAATATATTTTTTGTATATATTTTTTTAAATTTATATTTGTGCCTCGTTTCAACTCATCACGCAGCCACAAGTCCACCCCATACACTGAAATACACAGACGCTTCTTAGTTGTACAAACACATTGTTTTCTTAAATTATAACCTCTCTCCCTGTCACAAAACATTTTTTGAATGTTGCCCGGAAGTGAATTACTTCTCGCTTTAAACATGATTATTGCCGTTTTAAATTGGATCGGATCAAAAAATGTCACTGCATGTGGCTTTAAAAACAGTGTGTTGGTGTGTTCCCTGTATCCAACATTGTGTACTGTCTTGATTGCTCTCTGTTGAAGGATGTTTAATGGTTGTAAGTTGCTTTTGTAAGTGTTGCCCCAAACTTCCAAACAGTAAGTCAAATATAGCAGTACAAATGTTGAATACAGAATGTGCAGTGATTTATGGTCCAGTATGTGTTTTGCATGCTTAATAGTTACAATGAAGATTCAGATTTAGCTTACAGTGTGTGTGCTGATAATACTTGTGTACTTTCACTTTAAGATATTACAAGATTTTACGTCTTCCACAGCTGCCTGTTTCCATAGAGCAGAAAAGTTGCCAGACTTTCTTGTTTCTTTTCTTTCTTCTCTTCTTTATTCTTTTTTGTTCATGCAAGAGCTTTTTTTGCTTCCTTGCAGTCCTGGATGAGAACTGTCTCCTCCTTCCCCACACCTTCAGACTACAACAACACAGTCAGCCAAAAGCAACCTCTAACAGCAACAACACAAGGACTCCAGTGATCGACTTCTGCCCACTTCTACTCATGAAGGTGTTGTGTCTTTACATCTAGCACCTCTTCTCTTTGTTGATGCAGCTCCTCAGATGCTTCAGAATTCATTGTCTTCTTCAGCTCTTGTCTTCATGTCTGAGAAAACACAACCAGCCACACAGCCAAGATGACAATGTACTATAAAACCTCTCTGTCCTGAAGCTTAATTCACTGTCCCACCTTGGCACAGATCAGAAAGTCCATGTTGCAGATAATCATGACAAAGAGGTTTGTTCATGCCAGTGCAGCTGGTGCCATCTCCTCTGGGTCTTGATGAGAGGAGGCAGTGACAGCTGTCACCTCCCTGATGGCTGATGGGTCACTAAAGCGTGTTTCCATTGCTCGACTTGACTCACTTTTTCGGTGTGAGACCTGAGGATAGCCCGCAAGATTTGCTTCAAGACGTCACTGCAACTCATTTGCATTTCTTGAGCACCTCCATCATATAGAATTAAATAGATTTTCTGTGTGCTGGCATGTTGTCAAGCAGTGCCTTTGACATTTCACATTTTGGCAACTTTGAATGTACGTTTTGTGACGAGTGGCCCCAAGCTACTGTACATAGCAGAAATGTTGTCTCCACATTAGCCAATTTGAAGCCTTAGATCGTCAGATGAGGCCCTTCTGGCTACTCCAGAGTCGAGGCTGAAATCTACAGATGACTTTGCTTTTGCCATCAGGGCCTCTTGGCTTTGGAACGACTTGCCTGAGGAGATGAGACTCGCAGAATCAGTGACTTCTTTTAAAGCTCTTCTTAAAACCCATTTTTTACAGTATATGATGTTGTGTTTTTATTCTTATTGTTTATTCTTATTCTTTCCTCTATTTATTTAAGTTGACATTTTGCACCCTGTCTTGCATTTCATGTCTTTATTTATCTGGAGGGTTTAATTTCAGCACCTTGAGCTGCAGCTCAGAGGCCTCAGTCTTCATGCCTCTCTTCATGCAGGGGTAATAATTGTTATGCATGTTTGTGATTTACAGGAGACTTGTATTTACACTGTTTAATACAACATATTTATGAAACAAAAATCTCTAAACAGGAAGCTTCAACATGGAGGCGATATTTTTGTCAGAGGGACATATTTGGCTATTTGCCTCTCACCTAACCTTCCTTATTCAGATGTTAATTACCACAACCTCATCATTTAACGTAATGCACCATAAAAGTGTCATTGATAGAATAACATTTCAAAATGGGCAGATATTCAACCTAAAGGGAACTCAACGTCTTAACGAACTGCATGGAGGGTGGCCCCTCTGAAGCCTAATGAAAGGATTCCCCCTTTAATCTCTAACCTATAAACTTTTTGTTGTCTTGTGGTTAGAAACATCCTGGGCCTTGTTGCTGAACGATTGCCAATGTAAGCAGCGTGCTCATCCGGAGTTATCCTGCGAGAAATCAGAAAGCTCCCAGATGACAAAGCTGTTCATTATTTAAGCTCTAAAATGGATTTATTGTGTTACGACTAAATGCTCTTTTCAGACCAAACAAGGCCATCAAGCTGCGCCGTAGCCTCATCAGGGCCAATAAAATCTATTTTTGAGACGAGTTTTATAAATGATCATTTAACATGTATAATCATCACCGAACCATTTCCTGAAGAGTCCTGAATATAATTAATCAGATTCGCTTCATGTTCCACTCACACTGTAGTGTTTTCTGTCATATATAAGACCTCAACAGATACATGTTAGTGCGAGTAAATGCTCATTTTGTAGTAAATGTTATTCCATTTCATTTATTTATGAGGATAAAACACATTAATCAGTGTTTCTGTAAATGTGTAGCAGCTTTTTGGCAACATGTCCTAAAAACAACTTCAGGCTTTCTTCTTCCTTGTCAAAACCTGGTGCCTATACATTACCCACAATGCAACTCAGCTGCTTAGAGTGTGAACAGTTTACATTTGCATGTTTTATCATATCATATCAGTGTTTTTCAAATGAGTATGAGCTGACATTGCCTGTCAAGCTGCAGACCACTGTTAAAGCCCAGCAAACAACAAAACTGATTAGGATTTAAGGAGGTATTGCTGTGTTTCACCAGCTTTTTAGGAACTATAGTGCAGTGGTTCCCAGTGGGTCCAGCCATGGTGTCCAGATTTCTCCTTAGTCATTAGCTTGAGGTCCCACAGTTAAACACATTTAGTATCATGCGTGCATTTGGCCAAGTCGTTGAGCTAGTTTTCTGTCTCTGTCAAGTTGCTGTCGGTTACTCACTCACTCTGCAGCAGAAAATGGCACTTCATAATAAAAGCTATGTGCCTGAAATTTCTCTTATTCAAATATAATGTGTGTGTTTTTTACAAGCTTGACATGCTTGTGAATCACTTGTGATCCACTCAGAATGGGCCCGCGACCCACTTCTGGACCCCACCAGTTGGGAGCCACAGATGTAGTGACCCTTTACTTTGTTGCCAGTGGCTTTTTAGGCATGAAAAGCTTTTTTTTTTTTCAACCAGGGCATCACATCTTTCCCTGCTGGGATTAAGCCCCCTAATTAATTTTAAACCAAAATATGATCTTTTCCTAACTACAACCAAGTATGTGCTTAAATCTGAATACATGTTAACCACAACATTGGTGAAACATAAAATTTCAACAGAATTTGCTACATAATAACGTGCAAATGTAATGTATCCATGGTTTGCAGTGACACAATGCTAACATTTTTTGTAGTGACTGGGTTATGTAGTCTTGCGCTACAGAGGTCTGGTGAGATCCCTCACATTACATTACTTTTTCTTTTCGAAGCTGTAGTCTTCAGACCTAACTTACTGTATGTTGTTGGTGTCTTTTTTTTGTATACTTTAATTAATCCCCGAGGGGAAATTAAATTTTTTCACTCTGTTGTCAATTACACACAGGTCCGAACACACACATGCACCTATACATGCACTAAGTGGAGAGATGTCAGAGTGGGGCTGCCCATGAGAGGCGCTCTGAGCAGTTGGGGGATTCGGTGCCTTGCTCAAGGGCACCTCGGCAGTGCCCAGGAGGAACTGGCACCTCTCCAGCTACCATTCCACGCTCCATATTTTGGTCCTGACGGGGACTTGAACAGGTGACCCTCCGGTTGCCAACCCAAGTCCCTGTGGACCGCCCCTTTTGCATATCTGCGCCCAGGGGCCCACTCATAATCCACCCACAGCTGAAGGAGATGGTCCCACAGGATATTATACCTACAGTCCTCTCTCAGAGAAGATCTTGTGGACCTGTTGTAAGAATATAGGAAATGTAGAAGATCTTTATTGTCATTGCATGAGTACAAGGGCCTAGGTTTTGTTTCAACATTGGGGGGGGACACATGGGGTTTGTGGGGTCCTCTTCAAGGAAATTTTGAGTGTCAAACCCCTAATTTACTGCCTTTTAGTGAATTTTATGCACCAATTGATGATGGAAATGTCCTAAATATTGAGAGGGACATTTTTTTCCAAAGAAATCCATACATATGCACTAGTACACCAAGATTCCCACATTGATGCCATAGAAAAACAAGAAAAAACAAAACAAATAAGTTGAAATAATAGTAAAGTGGCAGAAAAAAATAACACTAGAAACAATATTGGGAATTATGAAAGTACTGGAAATAGGCCAGATGTGCAATGAAGCATTAAAACAAAAGCAGGGCAAACAAAAGCACACAATGTTAAAACATGTGTGAAAGTAGCCTATATGTTCATTCACAGCTGCTGTCACTGTGTTGTAATAAAATCAATTGTGCCTGACATAATGGGGACAGTCAGACATATTATAGGGGGCACCTAAAATAAAATCAAATAAAAATGTTAAACTATTAGTATTCTGTAGGAGCAATGGGAAAATCAACATCGTCATGAGGTCTACAAACACACCATTGGGCACCACAGGCACGTGCACTTGCAGTCCTTGTGAATATGCCAGAAATGTGAATATTCGCGTATGGAGGAACCAGTCTATATGATGGGACCCAGTCCATAGGCTTGTTTGTATAAAAAAAAGTCCCCTGCATGCGAGGAGTCGCCTGGAAATAATTTCTCATTGCTGATAGGTTGCTGAGCTACACCAGCCCCACTTGCGCATGGATTGGCCTACTGCTCTTTTTTCCCCAGTTTCTCATTGGCTTTTGGTAATAATAGTTGCCTGCCATCATTTGCCCGTGCAGTTTTCAATGAATATTGTATGTGGTCTCTGGCTCTGGTGCTGATCATTTGAATCAGCGGGTCGCGAGGAGGAAGGTATCCTGGATGAGCGCACCAGATGATGGAATTTCTCCCAGAGACAGCAGCTGCTCGACCAGGACTGTTTGCCTCGGAAATTAGATAAGAAGAGCAGAGCCAGGAGATCATACAGCGGGGAAGATGTTCTGCGCGAAGCTGAAGGAGCTGAAGATATCAGGAGAGTGTCCATTCTCCAGCAGCAGCAGCAGCGGCGGCAGCGCCAAAAATAATGAGCTCGGAGACTTTGAGGAGCGCTCAACTGACGCCGCGGATTTATTGCCTATATCTAAGGACGTGCACGGAAAAATAGGTGAGGATCTACCTCAGCAGAAGACAAGCAGAGCCAAAGTTAACCTGCATACACTTGGGGAGAGCATCCGCAAATTGGCATGTCCCGAGGTGAGTCAAAAATACATTTAATATTCAAATCATGCAACTACCACAGTGTATTTTGCAGAGATTTATGAAAAAAACACTGCAGTTGTCTCGTCGCGTGTCTGCCTTAACGCACAGACACCATGATCACTTGAGATTAAAACATGGTAACCCTGCTTTTTTTTATTTATTTATCTGTGGGCGCTCCTGTAATTAAAGCTGCTGTTCAGCAGACGATGACCTTTAACTCGCTGAACACTTTGTCATACAGTTTCAAAGGCTGCACACTGCCCTCCAACGAATGATGCGACTATCAGATCAAACCAGAGACTCGGAAAGGTAACACGTGTGTTTTTTTTAAATACAGCTGCCACCAGTAACAAGTACACTACTCCTGCTAGACTGCTACAATCATCACTACTGCTGCTGCAAATTATAGGCCTGTACTGAAGTGCCACAGCATGTATTCCAAATAATATGATGCTGAAATATTACAGTCTCATTTGGCCCTCTGTTTACCTCAATCTCTCAAAATGTATCTTGCTACTACTAGACTGATAGAAATGATGGTAACAAAAATAAGGTGTGACACAGGCTGCTGAGAAATCCCTGACGATGCTGATGAAAAACACATTTTTATAGCAAATGGCAAACCATTTCCCAAAAATGTCAAACAGTCACTGGTTGCATGTGAGAATTTGCAAGCTTTTTTTGGTCATATATGACAATAAGGTAATGTGACTTGGGCTGTTGGTCAAACAAACAATTGGAAGACATTGAAAGACTTATGCTTTCAGAAATTAAAACAGCCATTTTCAGTTTGTTTCCCCTTTGGTAATACAATGAGTCAAATAATCAAGAAAATGTTTGACAGATTAACTGAAAATCAAGATTATAGGTAGTTGCAATTCTAGTCTGATGTTGGGCAATATGCAGAAAATCAAACATCACGATATTGTATTTTTGCAATGATATTGTAGGCTTGACTACTGGTGCTTTAAAAAGTATTTACACAATGAGATTTTTGATAAATAATCATCACCAGTGTGGATGTAATGGCTAAGTGGGCAACGGCAAATAATAGAACAGCTAGAACAGTCTGATAAGTTCAGAAAATTACATCACTTTACTGTAATGCATCCTTTAAAACCAGGGAAAGACAACACTAACGATATTAAAATGTCCAAAAACTAAGATGACATCTAGTCTCACATCAAGATATCAATATAATATTGATATATTGCCATGCTTGGTCTAAGTTATTGAACCAAAGATGTGGTCCACTGAGTGGTTTATGTGTCTGACTTTTATATTTGTCGTCTCACAGTCCAATAACTTGCTGCACAGACTATCAGAGTTGCAGTGATGACACGGAGCATTTAGTGGAAATGATGAACATGTACTCAGCCAAAACAGGTAATGCCACATCTGAAGCATTTATACATTTATACTTTGAAATTCTGGGTGTTCTGGGTGAGTATTCTTCACCTGTTTCCCTTTTTCCGACAGCAATCCAGATGGAAGCGTTGAGAGTTGCTCTTGGCGAGGAGCTCTTCAACATGTGTTACGAGGAGGACGGACACATTTTGAGGGTAGTGGGGGGAGCTCTCCACGATTTCCTCAACAGCTTCAATGTCTTGTTGAAACAGAGCAGCACGCTGCCCAACCCGGACAGAGAGGATTGTGTAAACGAACCTTCGGTGCTCTGCTTAGACAAGGATGTGGGTCTGCTTACTGTCTATTTCTTCAACCCCCGCCCGACCACTGAGCTCTTCTTCCCTGGAGTCATTAAAGCTGCTGCCCGCCTGCTGTATCACACCACTGTGGATGTGTTGATGGACCCCCCCGGTGCTAAAGACAGCATCTTGCAGTCCAGCCCGCAGCCCAGTCTTCTGTACACAGTTGTAGTCAAGGATGCTAAAAGCCTGAGCCCCAGTCCGCTGCGGGCTACCTCAGCTGGGACCCTTCCTACCTCTCTGTTCTCTACCATCTTCCCTTTCCATCTGATCCTGGACCAAGACTTGGTTCTAGTGCAAATAGGACATGGGCTCAGGAAGAGACTGTTCAGGAAGGATGGACTCAGGCGTACTGCTACCTTCCAAGAACACTTCTCTATTGTCTCTCCCCAGATCAAATGTACCTTTCAAGGTATCCTGACCATGCTAAACACACAGTTTATCATTCGGATCAAGCATGGAGTCTCCATCGCAGACAACACAGGGAAGGTATGTGGGCCTATCTGGGAGATACGACTTGAAAAATGACATCACTGACTACTGAGGCGATAAAGGTCTTCCAGTCATTGTCTTGATAGTAAGATAGAGGGGAAAAATCATGTTATTTATAAGCAGTTGAGCTTATTAGTGTTGTACTTGGGTGCACTTGGCCTGAGGTAGAGATCAACATTATACCCCCAACGGAGATCAGAAGCAAATGTCAAACCATTTTATCCATCAAAGGCACAGCCATGCTTGTGCTATTTATGCGGGGGTGCACAGCAATTGGTCGCCATCACAAGAAAAAAAAAAAGTACCAGCGAGTACACATGGCAGTGGTGTTATAACATTCAACCAGAGGTGCTTCCACTTACTATAACACCAGTCTCTCAATGGTAGCTTTGCTGTTAGTAGCTACAGAGTCCAGTTAAAACAAGTAAAAATCAGCAAGTGTCTCAGTCTTTACCATCTGGGTATCATGATGTATCACTTCTACAAATTTCAAAATACTCCTGTAGCTGTATTTTTACCTTTAGCTATTGTTTTTTGCAGCTCATGACTCTGTGAGGCTATGATAAGAAAACCAAGTGATAAAAGTCAATATTGTTTGATCTTTAGCAGTTGAGGTGGTGGTGTCAGAATAATAAGGAAATGCATGTAGAAGGGCAGGAAGTATGTGCCTCAAAATAGAGTCTTTGGTTTTAATATTAAATCATTTAATATCTCCAGCTTTTACATGAGAAATTACAAGGTTTTTCTTTACTCATGTATTATTTCCACGTAACCTAATACAACAGTTCGTATGATGTCTAACGAATTAGTGCCCAACGTATTTGTGGCCCTACCTGTTAGGTGTAGGAAAATAATCATTGTTGGGTTTCGTCATGTTACATAGGTAAGGTTTAGGAAAAGAAATATGGTGATGACGTACATTAAAATAACTTAAAGTTTTCTTGGTTTCGACGGGGACACAAACACCAGTCTCCTGGGGGAAAGTCCTGTGATTGTCCACCACCCAACCTGCCTCCTTAGGCAGACCTTCACTCTTTATACTTCTCCCTTCTTTACTCCCATCAGCACATTTTTTTATATGACTGCAGCCTTCATGATGATGTGGGTTATGCCCTCCTGAGACCTAAACTTTTATTTGGTATGCTTATTCATTTTCGCCAAGGTATTTGGGATCAGGAGGAGCCAATAAGCATAAAAAAGTAAACATTTTCAAAGAAAATTAAGTTCCAATATCCTCAAGTGAGACTATAATAAAGTCCCAATGTCTTCAAATGAGTAATGAGCTTGATAGTGTTGCTAAAATTGGTCAGATATGTTGCCATATTGAACTACAAACATTATTAATCATAAGAAACAAGTTTAAACCATATAATGTGATCAGGTTTTGGACCTTGTCCACTTTTGTGTCATGATCAGTTGCAGACTGTCTTGGCAGAGACGGCTGCCATCTTGTTTTTACATGGATTAGTGTATTGTGGTCTTACTACCACTAGATGGCATAAAAAAAGTGTCCACGAACGAGGACAACAGGTCTATGTTAAGCAAAATGGAGTATAAGGTCAAGTAAATAAAAACCCAAAATGTGATGACCTCATATGAGGACACAGGGTCTCAGGAGGATACATGAATTCTGTGCACTGACAACAGCCTGATTATTATCATTTAAGTCAGTATTTCACTTTTGCGTGTTAACATTTGCTGTGATGATGGACTATATTTAACATGTTAGCCAGATGGATTATTAGCATGCTAATACTTCCAGCTTTGCTGTAGTCACAAAGCACAGTTGATGCTGGGGATGTTGTCAGTTTTGAAGGTATTAATTCATAAATCAAAGCACTGGACAAATTAAACTTTGGCCTTATAGTGGTGCTTAGTTAAAGGTCAGTTAATAAAGATGAATACCTGCACCAAATTTCATGGCAATCCATCCAAGAGTTGGTGAGACATTTCAGTTTGAACTCCAAATGTCAACCTCATGGTGGCTCTAGAGCAAATGTCTGAGGATCATCAAAGTCAGTTGGCTTCATCTTCTTGTGACCATGAATGTCTGAAAGCAAAATTTTATGGCAGTCCTTTCAATAGTTGTTGAGTTATTTTGACAGTGACTAGAAAAATGTGCTTGGATTAGATGTGTTTTTTTTGTCTGCTACACTAGAACATAAATAATCCTTTCAGTGTTGTTTATTGTTGTGGCTGACAGACAGCTGCATACAGCTGCGCTCTTATAAATACCACACAGATGACAAGTTTGCTTTTCTTTATGTCAAATGTTTAATTGTTTACATTTATCTTAAGGGAGTGTATTTATGTACACACTATATTTTACAAGTGCCACTGAGGAGGAAAAACATTATTTTTTTTTGTTTTACTGTGGGAAATTTATGCTTATAATAATAAGAACTAATACTACTAGTAAGAGACGTTTGCTCCGGGATGTAGCCAAGACAGTAATCCTAATTAATCTTTTAAAAACCAAAGTCATGGAGCTACAAGGACAGTTAGGCCCAATATTTACATGAAACTAACAAAGTTTACCCAATTCCACAAAAATGAACTTCTCTATTCATCTTATTTTTTCCTTTCAGCTCATGGACCTTAAAGGTCAGATGATCTATGTTTCAGAGTCCAATGCCATCTTGTTCTTGGGCTCACCATGTGTGGACAAGCTGGAGGAGCTGACAGGCCGCGGCCTCTACCTGTCAGACATCCCTATACATAACGCACTGCGTGATGTAGTGCTGGTTGGCGAACAGGCCAAAGCCCAGGACGGTTTGAAGAAGCGACTGGGAAAGGCCAAGGCAGCCTTGGAGCACGCTCACCAGGCACTGGAGGAGGAGAAGAAGAAGACAGTGGATCTTCTTTTCTCCATCTTCCCCGGCACTGTGGCTCAGCAGCTGTGGCAAGGCCAAACGGTGCAGGCCAAGAAGTTTGACCGGGTTACAATGCTCTTCTCTGACATTGTGGGTTTTACGGCTGTTTGCTCACGCTGTACCCCGATGCAAGTGATAACCATGCTCAGTGAGTTGTACACCAGGTTTGACCACCAGTGTGGAGAGCTTGATGTTTATAAGGTAGGTTAATGAAGGAATATCACATGGCAGGGAGTGCTGTTCGACTAAATATCAGCACAGCTGTGATTCAGTCATAGGCCAAAGATAATCACAGTCATACTGATATCTAGTACAACAGCACGACCTTAGGTGTGATATAGCTTTTATACAACAGTTCCTCAAGTATCATTTATACAGAATGTGAATGTACATCACACCATGCAGGACAGGGCTGCCATCTTGTGAGGTACATGCTCTGTTATCTCTATTTCCACTATGTATGCACTCAGTCCAAAACCTAGATAGTTTACAAGGTTTGGGTATGTAAGTGGAGGTAGCGCATTAGCAGGACTGCCAACTTTGGTCAGAGGGCCGGAGTGAGATTTTACCTTGTGACGTAATATTTGCTTGTGCGTGCGTGGTCATGAACATACGTGGACATGGTGGCACGTTTTGTTTTTTTACCTTAAAAGAGTTAATATGCACATGTGGCAAACAGAAGAGATGATATCTATAGGCCTAAGCCCCACATACGTCCATAGACACTCAATAGTTGTTTTACAGCACAGATCAAGGTAAATTTCATCAGTCTGATGGTAGTATTGATCATCTGCTTAAAAAATCCAACAATATGTCCTGTTTTGACAAAAAGAAAGATTTCAAGGGGGGGTTCTGGGGGTTCTCCCCCGAGAAAATTTTGAAAATTCACGCGGTGAAATCCTATTTTAATGCAATTTCATACAGAAATAGATACATTCAAGGACTTTCAATGACCTGTGTACATTTATGCATTTCTTTTCTTAAAGAAATTCAGCAGACTCATCTAACAAAAAGTTTTTTTCATCATAAGTGTGTTTTAGTTATTCTCACAAGATGGCGCCCCTCTCCAAAAAATTTAACACTGCGTGATGTCAGTCTTACATTCTGTATTCATTTAGAATAATTAGCAACATCAGATTTGGATTTGTTTGTTTATTTAAAAGATTTATTTGGTTCTGCCAGCACAAATAGCTGTGTAACTGGACTGGAAATAGACTGTTGCCAAGCAACACAAACATTCCTGCACACTGACTTGTTACATAGTGTAGGCTAGGTCTATACGTCATCGTAGGCTAGCTACTTTGTATGATCCTGCATTTGTTTTACGACACTGAAATTGAACTTACACCCTTGTAAATAGAATTTTATGCTAGATGTTTTTTGCTCAAATTAATTCACAGTCATTTTTCATCAAAATTTTTAAGAACTCTGGAGCCGGAATATTTAAAGAAATCAAAACATTTCAGATTTTATTCATTCATCAAACAGTTTGATTATATTTCCTGTAAATTTGACCCCCAGTGCTGCTGTGACACTGATGAGTACAATATGTAGTTGTGGTGGAGAATGATAAGCCTTTTTTGTGGCAGTCAAATCTTTTGATATTCTGATATCTAACTTAAGAAATCACCCTAAAACTCCTCAGATTTAGAAAAGCATTATAAAGCACATGACCTCAGTGTCCTCAATGGTACAGTAGCTATGGCCCTGTATGTACAGTAGCTCCCTAAAACCACATAAAACTGCCTTTAACTTTTCTAATGTAACTGTGGCTGCTGACGACACTGGAAAAAAATAAATGTATGTCTAAATGTTAAGAATTTATAATCTACAGTAGTTTACAGATAAAAAAAAACAGGTGCACTTTTCTGCCTTTTGACAAATAAGTATTTTAATACATCAGGTACTCCCATAGGGTGCATGGACTCAAATAATTTGCCTTCACATGATGAATTTTTTTAAGTAAAATAATACACCATTCCTTCACAGCTTCAAAAGACAGACTGAGACTATAGCTCAACCAGCTACACAAGTGTCTGCCAAAGGCTGCTAATCTACAGGGAGGTTGGATAATGTAATCAAAGTGTCACGGAAGCATAACAGAGAGAGCAACATGTTTGACAAATATCTCGTAAAACGCTAGGAAGTCAGAGGTTCCTTCAGGACCCTGTTTCCACTCCACATGTATGAGCCTAAAAATAGTTTCACTTTGTCTCTGCCACATAGCCGCTGAGTGCTCTCCGGTCCAGATTTACTCGTTCAAAGAAGAAGAAAGAAAAAACCTTGTGGACTTGTGTATAATATGACCAGGGATCAAGTACTATTACAATTTAAGTTTTATTACTCCTCAGTTTTCTGCCCTTTGTCTTCTGGGGCAAGATGGAGAGCACAAGTCAGACTGTGAAGAGATTTTGATGAATAGCCACTTCACATTCGCCATTTTGCTCAAGGTTTATTGTCAAATAACATCTGAAGTAGATTTTTAATAAAGTTGAAACTTTCGGGTTAAATGATTAGAGCTCTGTGTAGATTCCCTGATAAGGAAGAAAGGGAGGAGGCTGCACACACAGATGTTGCAGCCCTGTCCTCTGTCTCAGTTGCCAGGCTAGAAATCATTTTAATAATCCTCTACTGTATTCAGGTGGAGACCATAGGTGATGCGTACTGCGTAGCTGGTGGATTACACAAGGAGAGCGAGACTCACGCTGTCCAAATTGCACTCATGGCCTTAAAGATGATGGAGCTTTCAGACGAAGTTATGACGCCCACCGGAGAACCAATACAGGTGAGGGTCAAGTATTGATTCTTTCATTCAACTGGATGATGCAACTTCCTATTAATAATCTTCACTATCTACATAAGGCTGGCTCCAAACAGAGTAAATTCCCATAGACTCTCATGTTAAAATGCCCAACTTTACAGCCTGATACAAAAAAAATGGTGTGGGTCTCGCTAATGTCAACATTTCCGACAACTGTATGGTTTTTATTTTTATTTTTATAACTTGCCAGTTTACATTTTATCAAAGCCCAAAGTTATGCATATTTTAAGTGCGGGGCTGCTTGGGTAATAGGCTGTCTGTGAGGTGTTGCCACAAATTGTGAGTCTCTTGCTCCTCCTCTTGTCCAAATATGGTCGCTCCAGTCTCCAAAAAACCAAGATGGCGATGGCCAAAATGCTGACCTTGAGGCTTCAAATGATAGTCCACAAACCAATGGGTGATGCCATGTATGCTATGCCTATTATTTATACAGTCTATGTTAAAACATTACTCCATAGCGCTACTAGAGGTCACCTTGAAAAGGCATTAACTTATTAGGCTCCTTCAAGATGAACCGCACCGTGCCGCCGGGAAAGTTGAAAGATCAGGCATCAGCAGTGAATGGCATTGACAAAAATCTGCAGTGAAGTCGGACAGTTTCCAGCAAAGATGCTCTATTTCTAGCAACCTTCAAAGAATTTACAAGAAGTCACAGAAATATTTTCCTGTTAGATCCATCTGCAGGCTACCTGCTGTTTGCAGACCGCATATTATTATTATCATCAACCACACAAGTTATGTTTACAGATTAAACAATGTGAGATTAATAGCGTACAATCTATTATTAAATATTTAATTTAAACAGAGTTTGAATTTCTACAAACTGTGGTGTTTTTGGTTGAAACTAAGAACCAGTCAGCTCTTTGGTCTAGGCAACAGGAAAGCGTTTCCCAACATGCCCTGGTTCTTGTAGTCAGTGGATAGCAACTGCAGCGCTTGGCTCTAAAAACTGCCTCTGGAGCTTGAGGTTTATGCCCACATGTGCATGACGTCAGAGCAAGCCGGGATGAAGTCGGACACAAATCTGACTGTAATGCATTGTGCGCTAATTTGGTGCAGGCCTGGTTCATCCCAAACTAGCCTATTTATTCGGGACTATTTTCAGTCACTGAATTTGTTCCCTAGCGAGTACTGTAGTTACACAACGTATCCTCATTCAACAGTTTGTACGATATCTAACCAATTAGTGCTCCACAAATGATGTTTCGTAGTTAAGGTATAGTTATGTAGTTCATGCAAATTTGCGCCCATTAAGTTTTGGCGAGTTAAGTTATTTTGGGTAAGTTCCATGAAGTTCCGTGGTTGGGTGTTTTTAGGTTTAGGTAAGTAAAGTTACATATTAGGTTCAGGAAGAGAAACTTGGTGACGACAATGACAGTGACACAATAACTGAATGTTGACTTGGACTCACACGGTCTCAAACACTGAATATCCCTGGGGAAAGTCCTGTGTTTGTTTGACCTATCCACCACCCCACCTCTCCTTAAGCAGACTTCCGCTCTGTATACTACTTCCTTCTTTTCTCCATTCAGCATATTGGTCACATTATTGCAGCCTTGTTGATTACGTGGGTTATGAAAGGATTCTAGTGCATTACTGTTCACAGATATATGTACGAGCAGTGCATGAAAACAGCCTGATAAAAGACGAGCAGGAGCCCGAATCATGTTGAATGTTGTGTTTTTCCTCAGATGCGTATCGGCCTCCACACTGGCTCAGTACTGGCTGGTGTCGTTGGGGTGAAAATGCCACGCTACTGCCTTTTCGGGAACAATGTCACACTGGCCAACAAGTTTGAATCCTGCAGCCAACCTGGGAAAATCAACATCAGCCCTACAACCCACAGGTGAAGTAACACAGCCAATCCAGGCTGCAAATTATTATTTTTTTCCCATTAGAATTACAATACTAACTTGTAAGTCTGTTCTAAAACATTTTGCTTAGTAAGTAAATTTCAGATGTTAGTACCATATGACATTTGTTTCCTGAACTGGTTGTGGAGGAGAAAAAGACAAACTTAAGTGCTCTAGACAGGAAACTTAACTTTTAGAGGAGCACTGTGTTTCCTCTTGTGTCAAATAATTTGCCACATTGTTTTTAGATTCATGTTTTATTTGTGCGCTCTTTGTCCCAGATTGCTGAAGGATCGGCCAGAGTTTGTCTTTGTTCCCAGGAGCAGACAGGAGCTTCCGGCCAACTTCCCAGAAGACATCCCTGGTGTTTGTTACTTTTTGGAGGCGTCCTTCAAAACTTCACAACTGCCTCTGAAATGAAGTCGAGCTGCTGCAGAGCCCAAAAAAACAGAATATGACAGAATATAAACGTATCCAGTGAACACAGTGCGAACACCTTGTGTATTTTGGTTCGGGTTGTTTAGATATTGATGATATTGTCAGTCAACTCTTGCAGCTGCTTAATAACAGACATGTCAGTTTGATGTCAAACATGAGTCTTGTTTCTGTACAATTTTCCATTTGTACAGTTGTAGCACAGAGAAATACTCACTTCCTTCATTTTTCTTCCAGAATGAGTCATCTCTGCAAATTATTATGATATAAAAAGTAGCTTTCTTGACTGTTTTGTTCATTTTAATACCTAAGGAGGTACGAAATACATAAAATGTGCTAAATGTGGCCAAAAAGGGCATATTGTTTTTTAAAAAGTAGCTGCTTCTGGTTTGATGTAAGGAGTTAAATATGTCATCTGCATAACATGATTCAGAAATCCATTTTGGATGTTGATCCTCAATGTGATGTTGCTAAACAGATTTGAAGATTATGTTCTGTAAATATGTGACTGGTCCATTCACATCTGTTCAAACTACCTGCTAAAAGCACCTTTGCCTATTGGTACGACAGAAGAAATGAAGACTGAAACAGAATTAGCTTTGTGTGTCTCAGTGGGAGATTTCAAAATTTGGAAGAGTTATTCAAATATTTAGGAGACATCCTGCCTTTTTAAACTTTAGATTCACTCCTCTAATCAATTTAAGTGATGCAGAGCAGATTCAGGTGCCTTATATGAAAATATACCTGCAGGATCACAGATATTTCACATTATTTTTACCTGCTTTTTTTCCTTTAGATATGGTTCAATATGAATTTACGTGTCAATAATTTCTTCCAGAGGTTTGTGGTTCCAGCTCAGTAAATGTTTGTAATGACATGTAACTTAGACTTCCATTTATGAGACATAAAGCATTTCAAGATTGCATTTTCCAAACATAAGTTATATACATTTATTTTTTACTTTTTTTCCCACTGTACACATTTATACTATATTTATTACATTTGGTTCATAGCACTCCTTTCCTATACAGTGGGAATATGACACAACAAGAATACAATGATTGTTCTACTATCCCTCATAATGATGTGCTTTAATCATTATTGTAATGTAGTCAATGCGCAATAAATATTGACATTAACATGCTCATGTGACTCTGTATATATTATATATAATATAATATATTCTGTGATATAAAGCGAGTTATCCACCAATCGGACGATCAGCTGTTCGGTCCCTGGCTCCTCCAGTTTGCATGTCGTAGTGTCCTTGGGCAAGACACTGAACCCCAAATTGCTTCCAATGGCTCTTCCATTACATCTGTTATTGGTTACTGAGTAGCAGGTAGCATCCTGTATGGTAGCCTCGTCCACCAGTGTGTGAATGGGTGAATGTGACATGTAGTTTAAAAACACTTTGAGTGGTCAGAAGACTAGAAAGGCTCCATACAAGTGCAGTCCATTTACCATTATGTTATGATGTGCAATAGTGGAAACTAACTAACTACATTCATACAAGTATATGTGCTTATATGTGTAGGCCAATTGCTATTTTCAGGTACTTGCACATTACTATGGCACAGTGATACTCAACTTTACAGAAAAAACAACAACAAAACATAAATAAATAAATGGATAAAAAAACAACATAGTACCAGCTATTTATAAAAGGTATGGTGTATTTGTGGTCATTCAACAACTCATAAAGCAAATAAAGTTGTTAGATTTTGCTCCCTTTTGACTTGCAAAAACATTAAACTGCTATTTAGATGTTAAAGCATCAATAATAGCAATGCAATAATAAAACAGCCCTATGGCTATGTATTTTAGCCTAATGTTCCCTTCTGAAATGAGTCTTTATGCATAATGAATAGGCCCACTTAGGTCTAGGTACATCAGGTGAGTATCCCTGCTTTAACACCTTTACTTTATGTTACGTTATGTCATACATCTACTTCACTACACTTTAAAACAGAACATTTTTTACTCTACTGATTATGTCAGCTGTAGCAAGAGATTTTACAAAAAAAAAAAAAAACGTGACCAGCTCATCATGTAGGCTTTAGTGTATTTTCTTAAAGCATATAGAGTTGTTTGACTTCTCTCCCTTTTGACTTACCACAACATTAAATTGCTATTTAGACATTAAAGCATCAATAATAGGAATGCAATCATAAAATAGATCCATGACTATGTATTTTAGCCTTCTATTCTCTTCTGAAAGGAGTCTATGCATAATGAATAGGTCTACTTTTACTTATCAGATTTACAAGTACATTTTGCTAACAAGACTTTTGTATTTTAACCATTTTACATTTAGTTTTACCAGCATTTTGAATGCAGGACTTGTATTTGTATTGCTGCTTACTCTTTCCTCAAAATGTTAAGTCATATCTTATCAGCTAGTTTTTTAAACGTTAGCCAAACAAATTACCTCTTAAAATGGCTGCTTTGCTTAAAGTTATTTCTGACATCTTTTGCTTATTTTTGTGTTACAGTACGCATTTATCATTAGTTGTAAAGTCCAGAGTGTAAAACATGATGTTAAATGTCAGAAACTGGGAAGCAGCCTGCGGTGATTTCAGATCCACCAGCAGCATCAGTTGGACAACGCAGCTGGCTTCTCATTGGTCAGCGACGGCCTACGTAGGACCTTCTCTGCTCTGCTATTGGACAGACTCCCTGTCAGTCAGTAGCTGAGAGGAAAAAGGAGGAATGGACGCAGAGACATCAGCATCTGTACCAAACGATGAAGGTTGAGTCAGATGCAACGGATATAGCATAAAATAAGGAAAGAGAAGAGCTGCTGTCACCATGGTATGTTTAATAGGATTGTACATATTGTTTTAATGCTGGTGAAGAGTCTGTTTGTCGCGCGACGTGCTGCAGCGTTAGCTTATTTGCATTTGACATTTCCTGTTAGACCGCTGTGTAGCTGTTACACAATAATTCCCTTATTACAGTGAACTGTTTATGTTAACTGCTCAACAGAATATACATGCGTATTTATTTTAAGTTTACAGTATGTTTAGAGCATATATTTTATAAAAACACGTACGTAGCAAGCTGTGTTTCAGACACATCGCCTGTTTTCATGCAATAATATTCACGTTGCTGCTGTTTTTTTTATTATAATCTTGCAGTATGGTTTTGTGAATCACGCCCTGGAGCTCCTCGTTTTAAGGAATTACGGGCCGGAAGTGTGGGAAGACATCAAGTGAGTTTGTGGATCGTGTGTTTACTATCCGGCCCTGTTGGTATCATAGGTTACACTGTGGACAGATACACCACAACAGGGCTATTGTACATGCAGCTCACCTTCAGCTGTCACACTGTCAGCTGGTAGAGACACCTGCCTTTACTGTAATCATTCACCTCACGTAAAGTTGGTAAATAGCACATTTAAATGAAGTTTTAGCAGGCTGGAATTCAAGCCAGAAAGTATTTGTTGCCAAAAAGCACTACAGCACTGCAAAAATACTCCTACATTCAAATTCTTACCATGAAAATATGCAAGTGCAGTTATCAAAATGTATCTAGTTGGCTATTTAAATTGAAACCACTCATTATGCAGACAAATTATGCCTGTGACTGTTATATTATTTTATTTTTTATAACTAATGCATTATGTGAGTAACATTTAAATGTTGCAGTGGGCCATAATAGGACTACTATCTATGGTTTCATATATTTTTGTGTAGTTTAATCGAAAAAACAAACCCTATAGGTTCATTTTTTAATGTACCTTCAAGATTTGGATGTGTTTGTTTTTAGAGAATGCAAGTTAACAAATAAGGATATACCTATCTAGCCTACACTTTTTGGGGTATGTTTAAGATTGTCACCAAGTAGTTTTTAATTTTACTTCTTAATTCCTATGTTTCTTTTTATAATGTTGATTGTTACACTAATTGGTGTTTGGTATTTAGTCTTTTAACTGCATGTGGGTAATGTGACTAATTGCAAACTCACAGCCACTCCTACTTAAGATGGCTTTTTTTTTTGTTACAACACTGTTTGCCTGATTAAGGTCTAGTCACTGAAACGTTGCAGCATTAAAATCATTGTTTTTGCAAGTTTGACAGTGTGTTGGAGTCTCTTCCACAAGTGTAGTTTAATCTAAAAAATATAATCATATAACAAAATGTCAATATGTTTTGTATGTTAAAAAAGTAACTACTAATTCTCGCTGTAAAATAAAAGAAATGGAGTAAAAGTACAGTTGTGTCCGCAGAAATGTGCAGTAGAACGTATGATCCATGGCAACGCCCCCCAGTACCTCAAAGAACTCCTCACCCCCCAGACCTCAGCACGCTCACTCCACTCCACCAACAGCCACAGACTTCTCCCCCCAAGGACTAAGAGCCGCACACTGGGAGATCGAGCCTTCTGCTCCTCTGCTCCTCGACTGTGGAACACCCTCCCAGAACACCTGAGGGTTCCACAGTCAACTGATTGTTTTAAAAAGGGCCTTAAAACGTACCTTTTTAAAAAATCTTTTAATCTGTAATTTTTGCTCGTGTTACTTTGATAACTGCTTTTAACTCTTGTTTTTACTTATTTTTTCTTTTCTTGCTGTTGTAGCACTTTGAGATTTTTCGTTAAATATAAAGTGCGTTACAAATAAAATTTATTATTATTATTATTATTATGAAGCACTCAAGCAAAGTACAACTACTTAGCAGGGCTGTAGCCAGAGTTTTAAATACTGGGTTGATGTCTCAGAGCCCCAGCATCTCCCAGAAAAAATGTAATAACACACCTAAAGTGAACTCTCAGATTTATTTTTAAGTATTTGCATTTTTGATATTTTATTTTTCAGTTAATGGCTTAGTTAAACTAACTTTTGTTCAGTCATTTTGATTTAGTAACTGTTATTTCCCAGCATGACTCCAAAAAACATGGTGGGTTTTAAATTAGTGTATTTAGCACAAGAAGTTGGAGAATTTTATCAATTCATTAAAGATGGAGTCAGCTATACTGGAGAAAGCTTGTGGATATTGAGCTCAACACCCAAACAAATACTCCCCTCCTGCCAGTGCTCCTTCAGAGGCCCAGTTTTACTGTCCCTCTTGCTCCCACTGCCGTTCTCCCCATACATCCATGGCCTTTCTCCTGACTTGTGCACAAGCACTAACGCCCCCTGTTGCTGATTGGCTGGAATAGTGTTGTGTGGGTCGTGCGAGCCACTTAGTCTGTTTGCCATTTACAGAGCCAGGGCTGAACACTGGATTTTTCTAAAGCGCACACAGACTGGACAGCTAGTAACTGGATTAGAATCGCTGACTGCACCTCTGAATAACAGTTAGTTGTGATGTTTGTCTGAAAAATTAAAAATCACCAAATTAAGAGATGTATTGTTTTTACTGGACAGTGCTGGTCTCTATCTACAACTATACACACAACATCCACCAATGCAGAATGTAAGCAATGTGGAAGCTGCTAAAAGCCCCAGATTCCCATAAGAATACAAAAGGAATAACCTCAGTGGCAGCTATGACCCTGCTTCAAAATGTAACCCTAAAAACACTCCTTTGTACATTTACCAATTTACTTATGATCCAACATTGTCAGGCTGTTTCTTAACCGCAATTTGCAAACCGATAAAGCCTTTATATCATATAGACAGAGTGTGTTAAAGCCCCATTCCAACATGTCAGTTTTTCGGCATGTTGAAATGTTTGGCTCAAACTGTCCTACATGTGACCCTGCCTCAAAAAAAAAAAAAGAGGAATAAGAAAAAAAAACACAGCAGCTGCTGCCTTGTGTAAATGTTTTCAAAGAAAGTACTCATTCTTCAGCCACCCAAAAAAGATCCCCTTTGTTATCCCTGCAAATGTAACTCACTGTTATTTAATGCACAATTTATCATTTTGCTGTGTTTCAGACCTTTGATGAGCTGAATCATTTAAAAATAACTTGTTGTTTTCTTTACGAAAGCTTTCAAGGCTTGGTATGTTTTTACAGCTGTTACACATTCTGATAAAATGGTGGCTGCTGCTCGGGCCTGTAAATCATGTCTGTTTTTTAAACAGTAGTAATCAGAACCTCATTAAGATATCTTAAAAAATTGTAAAAATTGGGTTGTAAAATGTATAAATAGCAACGTGCACTCTGAGCTTGGAGCTGTGCTTATCACTGGTGGAC